ATATTGCAGAAGCTGCACTAGTTTGTTAGTGTCACTCTTTGAAGCCATCTTATGATGGTCATGATATGATGGTAACACTGTTAAACATTGTGCTCCTATACAATCTGTTAGCACTGAGTACAGTACATGTTGTTAATGACTCTAAGCTACTACCACCCCAAGTTTCATCTGAATATCTGCAAACTGACTTATACTTAAACTGAGATAGAATGAGAGGTTCAGTTATCCAGGAGAGACTCTGCGTAGAGCTACTGATCTCCTGCATCATTTTTTGACAGATAAGATTTAACCAGTTCAATAGTGAACCCAATGTCCATGCTGTTATCTCTTTTATTCTTTTATTAGTTTAAACAGAGTCATTACTTCTTACTTTGATATTTAAACATCACTTTCATTATCCATACATTGGTGCTGAGCCTGTCAAAACTTATAAATAACCAGATCATAGATATTTTTAAACTTTATCATTTTTTATATATGATCCTATCAATTGTTTTAAATATGTCTGTTGAATGAATGAAGCTTTGTCTGTTCTTGGCTGAGAACAGGCCTGTAGTAAGCTGCCATAAGTTTCAACTCTGCAGCTTTGAGCTGCACTAACTGATAAGAAGCAACCCTGTGACTGGTCAAGATGTTTTTCTCTGTGCTCTGTTTGTAATAAACTGTTCATCTTTCCCGGCCAAGGGCAGAACTTTCTGCTGCGACCTGTTTTAAGCGTCCTCAGAAACTTCTCACTCTTTGCAAAGGGAAAACTGTTTTAACTGAATACTTATGTCTGTGTCTGGTTCATTTCTTTTTAAGGTGTAATTTAATGTCTACGTATCTGTCAATCTGAATTTTTTGGTGCGGCTCACTTTTCTAAATTTTTCTGTACGTCAACTTTTAGCGTGGAAGCTGCACAATCCTTTATGCATGAGGCCCCTGAAGAGAAGACAGAGTCACAGGTTCAAACCTGTCAAAAACTGCACAAGCAGGGACACAAATGGAGGGATCATGASTAGAAGGTAAAATCTGGTCTCTAATAGTTCTGATTTATCTATGAAAAAGTGAAGAAAATTTTCACAAAGAACAGAGGGAGCATCAATACTAGCAGACTGTGGGGTGTTAAGAACCAAGTCAATTGTTGTGAATAAAACACGAGGTTTGTGACAGTTTGACTGGATGATATCAGACAGATAAATTCTTTTGGCTTCCTTTACATTCTTTTGATAATGACGCCAGGAGTTCTTTAATATTTGAAATGAGACCTCCAGCCTGTCCCTTTTCCACCTGCATATATATACANTACGTGAAGTAGGTTGATTCCAGGCACAGTTTGAGGAGTTGGCACACTTGTTCTGTGGAAAGTGTGGTTCTGCTGCTGAGAGTTTCTGTATAACTATTATGACTCCAAAGGGAGAGAGGGGGGAAAAAAGAAGCACTGCTCAATTTCCCCACATGAGTGCAGCATTTACCCTTCACCCAGACCTCCCCCTTGCCCCAACCCCCCACCCTTTTGAGCATTTTACATGGAGACAGAATGCCAGATATTTTTCATAGTGGCTTCTTCTGAGTGATACTCTGAAAGCTGAGCCTCTAGCACAGAATCTGCTGTGTAATTCCCAAGTTTTATGCTTTAAACCACAAAAGCCGTTTCAAGGTGACTGCAAAGATACTCGGCAGAGAGCCAGCCAACGTATCAGCTGACAATATCTGAAAGGCAAGAGTTTTTACCTCTATAGCTGCGCCTAAATGCCTTCACACCTGTGTTTAGCTACAACTAAACACCGGTGAGCTGAAAATTCAACGCACAGCTCCAAACGTGCACAAAGCTGCCCTAAACCAAACTGCCTGAATGATGACTCGCTCTCTCCGCCCATGTAACTTTTATAGAGTCTACATAACATGCATTATTCAGCAATAACACACGGACCATCTGGACTTCTGTGAGTGTGTTTCTGCATGCGTGTCTATGGATCGGGGGAATGCTTCGTGATATCTTCCCCCTGCTGCCACAATTTCACGCCACATTCAGCAGCGCTTGAAGAGCAAAAAAAATTAGTATTTCCCCTGTAATTACAGCTAAGGTATAATGTGTGAGGGTTTTTTTTTTTTTTCACGGAGGATGTGTGTGAGACAGGAAGGAAAAAGGGAACAGAGGAAGAAAAGAAAGTGGTGAAAGAAAGAAAGACAAGAGTCAGTGAACACATATTAGAATCTACCAAATTGTACGTTCAGGACCAAGCTCTTTCATCACGCCGTTCCTCATTAGTCAAGATGGGAGTGCTGCCCTAATTCTATAATTCCTAAATCATGCCTGTTAGTTGAATATGAGGAGACAAAGGTACAGGGAGAAGAGAAGAATAGATTAGCCTCTAGTCTAATGAGAAGAGGAAAGAAAGAAAGAAAGAAAGAAAGAAAGAAAGAAAGAAAGAAAGAAAGAAAGAAAGAAAGAAAGAAAGAAAGAAAGAAAGAAAGAAAGAAA